GTCAGCCTGTGAACCAAAAGGTCACCAGTTCGATTTCCAGTCAGGGCACATTCCTGGGTTGCAGGCCAGGTCCCTGGTTAGGGGCATGTGAAAGGCAACTGATCAATGTACCTCCTGCACATCAAAGTTTCCCTGTCTTCCTCCCTTCTTTCCTCTCTCTCTCAAAATAAATAAAACTTTTTAAAAAAAAGAATACAAAAAGCATGAAATGAAAAAAAAATAATGTTTTTATCATTTTTAATGATAAATTTAAAACCTTTGTTCTTCAAAAGACACGATTAAGCAAATGAAATGCAAATTATGAACTGGAAGGAAGTATTTAAGGAACATGTATCAGCCCTGGCAAGGTGGTTCAGTTGGTTGGAGCATCATCCTGTACGCCAAAAGGTTTCGGATTTGATTCCCAGTGGGGGGCCTATGGGGGAGCAACCAGTCAGTTTCTCTCTGCATGGATTTTTTTCTTTCTTTCTCTCTCCTCCCTTTCTAAAACATCAATAAACATAACCTCAGGTGAGGATTAAAAAAATTTAAAAAAGAGACATGTATTAGACTATGGAATTGTATTCAGAATACACACACACACATATACACATGTATTGTTTTTTTAATGCTACAATTCAGCCCTGGCCAGATAGCTCAATTGTTCAGAGCATCGTCTTGATACACCAAGGCTGAGCATCCGATCCCCAACCCCGTCAGGGCACATACAAGAATCAACCAAGTAATGCATAAATAAGTCGAACAACAACCCCCAACCCCCTCTATCTCTTTCTCCTGCCTTTCTCCCTTACTCTCCCTCACTCTACAACCAATTTTAAAAAAGAAAGAAAGAAATCTTACCATCCGAAAGAACATGAATGGACCTAGAAGGTATGCTACGTGCTGTAAGTCAGAGAAAGACAAATACTATATGATTTCATTTATATGTGGAATCTGAAAAACAAAATAAACAAACTAACAGATACAGAGAATATTTTGACGGTTGCCAGATGGGAGGGGCATGGGGAGATGGATGAAAAAGGAGAAAAGATTAAGAACTGTAGTTAAAAAAAGCCATAGGAATGTAAAGTACAGCATAGGGAATATAGTCAACAATATTATAATACCAGATATGGTGTCAGATGGGCACTAGATTTGTCAGGGTGATGACTTCCTAAATTACATAAATGTCTAAGCACTACGGTGTATACCTAAAACTAAAAATAAACAGAAAAATAAATTATTTTAGAAAAACATAATGAAACACCACTATACACCCTTTAAATTAAAGACTTACTCTTGAACACTGCTGATAGGAACATAATATACCACCATTTTAGAAAACATGCAATCTTATAAAGGTAAACACATTCCTGACATATGACCCAACCATCTTAAATGTTAAATACCATCTTGGATATTTTTCCACACAGAGACTTGTACATGAATGTCCGTAGAAGCTTTATTGTAATACCTCCAATTTTTTAAAAAAGGATTTTATTTATTTGTTTAGAGAGAGGAGAAGGAAGAGAGGGAGAGAAACATAAATGTGTGGTTGCCTCTCATGTGGCCCCCACCGAGGACCTAGACCACAACCCAGGCATGGGCCCTGACTGGGAATCGAAGTGGGGACCCTTTGGTTCACAGCCCATGCTCAATCCACTGAGCTACACCAGCCAGGGCCCCCCAAATTTGAAAATAACCCAAATATTCATCAAGGTAGATGGCTAAACCAATGACATATACATAATGAAATTTTATTCAGTAAAAAATCTATTTTCATTAAAAATAATTATTCTACCTGAAAGAAATCAAGCAAAAAGACAACACAGTGTATAATTTCATTTATATAAAATCCTAGAATGTGCAAACCACTGTACAGTGAAAGAAAACAGGTTAGTGGTCTCTGGGACAGTAGGAGGAGGGATGGGATGCAAAGGGACATGAAAAAGCTTTCGGAAGAGGCTGAAATATTATCTTGACTGTGTTGACAATTTCACAGGTACTTACATATGTCAAAGCTAATAATGCTGTAAACTTTAAATGAATACAGTCTATTGTGCTTTGCTTATATCTCAATAAAAGTGTTAAGAAATATTTTAGATGGGAATTGGCCATCCTCTAGAGCCAAAACCTACCACCCCAAACAGCAGGAACCATCTTTACTGGAACAACTTCATAGTGTCCACAGGCCATTAAGAGTCAAGTCTCATGTGATTCCTCCTAGGAAATTGTCCTCACAGAAATTTCTTTACTGTCAGTGGAGGACTCAGATATAGCTATCCCCCTTTCATGAACATGCGTGAGCATAGTTAAAAAAACAATTGTTTATATGATCAGCGTGATTAACATTTTGGGTATTAAGTCAACATGGTTAGGAAACCCCTCCAGGTGTCCTTTATTTTTAAAGGACTCAACAAAGCAGTTCTGAAGTATTTTATACTTATACTACCTATCTATTAAGTCAGGGCATTTCATTATTTGTTAAAAACCAGATTCATCTCAAATTTCTCTTTCCATAAATATGACAGAAAAAAAGCTTTTGGTTCGAACAATGACCACAATAATTAGCAACTTGATAACTTGTTGTCTGTGCCGCTACTTTTCAACCTCTGCTTCTGATCACAAAGACGAAAAATTTAACCTTATTTTCAATTGAGTTCTGATATATCAAGAATTTTTAAGAACTCCTAGTTCACTCTCTAGCTATAAATATTTAGATTTCATTAACAAAGTATTTTAGGTAATCTCAGTATCATTTGCAGCCTTTTATTCTACCCAATCCTTAAATGCTGATACTTTTCTCCATGGTTTCATCCTCCACTCACTTCTAGTCTCACCAATGGTTCTCCAATTTCACAATCTCCTAGGGAGCCAGTTAAAAATAAGAATGTCAATGTCCTAACCCCAATGATTCTGATTTCGATTAGTAAATGAGGGCCCATTAACCTTTATATTTTTTAACAATTACTCACTTGCTATCTCATTAAATTATTTTTATTTGTTTACCTCTTGTTCTCTCTTCTGAAAAAAATCTCCCTTCCCTAACTTTCAAGTCTGACTTGCTCTGTCATACCTTCCCTTCTAGGCTATCACTCCCTTTCCCCAAAGGCTATATTAAATTCCTGTTGAAAAATATTGAATTATATTGTACTGTGTTAATCTACTTGTCTATCTCCCCATTGAGACTGTTGGTTCTGTGTTTTTTCATGTCTATATATCTAACCCACTACACAGCTGGAACATAGCAGATATTTAATAAATGTTATCTGAATGAATTAACCCCTTCCAATGAGTATCTAGTTAACAACCACCTTTTTGTCTTAACAAGCATGGGAAAGCTTAGCACATTCAATATACAAAATAATACACAACTGGAAGCCAAGTAGTTTGAAAATACAAGGATTCCTTATGGTCGTTTTTATTAGTCCCTCCCATGTTCCTCAATGTATCCATGAGCACATAAATTCAAGGCTACACCGAGCCATATGTTCCATTCTTATTATGATTCATACTTTTCTTTCTCTCTCTCTTTTTTTTTTTTTGCAAGCTAAGTTTTTCTCTAAGTTTAGACCCACACTGCCCAATAAAGTAGAGGTTAGCTACAGGTGGCTACTGACATTTAAGTGAATTAAAATTAAGTACAATTTGAAACTCAATTTCTGATACTAGCCACATTTAAAGCGCTCAAAAGCCATACGTGGCTAGAAGCAACAGTACTGAACAGTGCGGATACAGAAAATTTTCATCATCACAGATACTTCGAATGGACAGCCCTGGCGACAGTTATAAACGGACCTCAGAAAACCTCACTTACTTCTTAGCTCCCACGATCCTCGTGCTCCTCTGCTGCTTAAAGGACGTGGGCCCCGGGGTCTGGCAAACGCAAGCACATATGTGAATGCTACAGACCTCTGAACCTTGACCATAAAACGACAATCCCCCTGTGCCCAGAAGAAATGAAGCTCTCCCCGGGCAACTAACTCAAACGGAAGAAGGCAGGAGTTTTTAAGGAAAAGTATTTGGCCCTATCTTCCAACAGAGTGACAGTAGGTGACAACACCAGAGCCTTCATCTCCCCCATTCTTAACGCCCTGTCTGGATAGGGATTTTAAAGCGAGAAGAAAAGAGAGGACAACGAATATGGGAACACTGCATATATAAAAAGAATAGAAGCTAATGACAATCTGGCGATGAACTGAGTCCAAGGAGGTGAGGAACAGGCAGCGAAAAGTGAGGTGAAAGAAGGGGACAGGTAGATCTGACCTAGAAGGGTGGGGCCTACGATGGGCTCTGATAAAACCAATTGTGAGCTTAGAACAAAAGCGAGGACCGCGTGTTGCAGGCTCGACAGCGCTACCTCCGAAGCATAACGGTCAAATCGAGAAACTCACGGCGGGTACTGCACCGAGTCTGGAAGACATCACTCCCTCTCCACGCCTAACAAATCCACCCAAGGGCTCCGGCCAGACCAACGCCACTTCCGCTCTCCTCTCCTTTCCCGGATGTGGAGTCTGTACCGCCCAATCCCGTTCGCTCGTCGACTTCCGCCTAGCGGCTTTCCAGGGGGCTGCGGCGTGAGTCACGTGAGGGATCGCCCACCAATTCCTCTGAGACCCCGCCCTCTGGATTAGGTTGTGGGACCCGGGGGACTGTGAGTTGGGGGTGGGGCTTTAGTCTGGCCCCTGGACCCTCGCCTTTCGTGTCCCTCCACCCTCCATCCTCCACCGAGTACGACGAGTGGTCTTTCTACATGGACAAGGAAATCAGTTATTGCCCCTTTATTAATCTTAGAGAAATTGCAGCCCCACTCCCGTTGCCCCAGCCCCCTGATGGAGAGGCATAAACTCTTTCATTGCTGAGGGTGCTAGAACTGGAGCCAGTAGCTGGGCAGGAAAGAAGCCAGGAGAGGCAAGCTTGGTGAGGACTTGAGTGAATAAATGAATAATGGGGTTGGAAATCTCATCTACTCTCTTCGAGACTCCCAACTTGCCCTGCTTTGGGGTTTTCTTGTAAGGTCCCTAGGAGACATAATTTGAGTGAGCCTTGAGATCTTTATACAAACGATGTCTGGGGCTCTCCTTAGGGGAGCTGTGATGTTCTCTCTCAGATGGACTGTGTGGGCTCCACTCGGAGTGACTGTGTCTGCGCCTCTCAGAATGCCTATGCCCTCTCCTCTTAGAGGGACTGCCACGACTCCTCTCACAGAGCCTGGGTTGCCTGCGCTCAGAAAGACTGTATCCTCTTCTTCTCTTAGAGGGACGGTGGCCTCTCTCAAAGGGTCTGTGACATCTCCTCTCAGAGGGACTGAGATGGCTCTTCTGAGATGGACTGCGATGTCTCCTCTGAGAAGAGCTTCGATGTCTCCTCTGAGAAGGACTTCGACAGCTCCTCTGAGAGAGACTACGACGGCTCCTCTGAGAGGGACTTCGATGTCCCCTCTGAGAGGGACTGTGATGGCTTCTCTCAGAGGAACTGCAATCGCTTCTCTGAGGGAGACTGCGATGGCTCCTTTCAGATGGACTCCGACGGCTCCTCTGAGGGGGACTGTGGTGGTTTCTCTGAGATGGACTGTGATGGCTTCTCTCAGAGAAACGGCAATGATTTCTCAGAGAGGGACTGTGACGTCTCCTCTCAGAGAAAGTGCAAGCGGTTCTTTCCCTAAGGAAGCTGTGGTGGTCTGGTTTCTTCCGTGTGAGTTTGTCTTTAAGGTGACTGTGTGAGGTTCTCTTCATAGCAGAACCATATAGGATTCTCCCTTGGGCCTGACTGCTGAGTCCTGTTTTGAAGCTCTTGGACTCCGGGCTAGAGATTTCTTTTTGGTAGAAATTTTTCTTAGGTCTGCAGCCACTGCCATTTTGAATGGTACCCAAACGATGTCTGATTGTGGTGTTTTGGGGAGTGGTGCTGCCTTGGGAAACTCTGCGTGTGAGCAGTGGGAAAAGTCTGAGGTGGAAAGAGCTATCTGTTTTTGGTTGTTGAGCTGATCTGAGTTGGTCTGTTCCTTCCCACAACATGCTCTCCTGTTCGGTGGTTGGGTCTGTTGGCTTTAGCTTCATAACCGGCATCCTCTGTTTTTCAATATCTCTTAGTAAGCAGTAGTCTCTGGCTTTTTGTTTTGTTTGGTCATTTTTGTTTGACCACAAATGGCCTGCCCTTGCTCTGTCCTCAGACTTCTGCCCAATAAATGCCATAATTCTGTGTGCTGTTTGGAATGCCTTCCTTAGTCCCTGAAAAACCAGCTGAATGAATTTGGGTTGGGAGGATGTCTTAGGCTGTCTTTTAAAAGAGTCAGTAGTTGTCTGAGGTGCTCCTTTCCTTTTCATTTTTAACTGGGCTGGTAGTTCCCTAGAGAGACTGTGTTTTAAGGTTCTACTGTTTGTGTAGAACTTTTTGTTTTTTATTCTAACTCCCTTGGAGATTTTTTTCGTTGGATATTTTGAATCACAGGTGCTTTGGCTTCTCATTTCAGCCCATTCTTCATCCTGATTGCTTTTAGAGTCACTCTCTGGTAAAGAGTGAACTTCAGTGAATTCATAGTGTCCAGGTTCTCTACTATCTGTCTTTCCTATAAGGTCAGGGCTGCCACATTGCTTTTGCCTAATGTGGACTTGCATAGGAGCAGGAGACTGGGAAGACTGAAATGGGAAATCTATTGTGGAAGTAAGATTCTTGGAAGCTTGAGTACAGATTTTAGCTTTCCTTAATGATGATATCAGGCTCCTTGGTGTAATGGGTCTGTCTCTTCTATGATACTTTGGGACTTGGGATCTTCTCCCAGACTGCAACCTAAAGCCAAGACGCAATCTAATCTCCCCATGACCTTCAGGACTGCTTACAAAGCAGAGCTTTGGATAAATAATAAGATAAGGCCCCAAAGTGTCCTGTAATTTATGACAACAATTGAAACCTGAACATCGGCCACACTGTAAGCAGATAGGGTATTTCAGGACCAGTCCTGAAGCTGGTGGTGGAGGTACATTGTGGGGTATTTGACTTCTTAACAGTTTTGCTGCTATTTTTAGCTGCAGATCTTGTAGCAACTGGAGTTGTTCTGAGAAAACAGAGTTGTCCTGGGAAAGATAACTTGGCTTAAGGGGGTATTGGGACTCAAAAATCCTTGTCTGTGAATCAGTCTGTGAGTTCTCACTCTCTTTCACTGGAACAGGATCTTTCATAGTGAAAACTATATTGAAGGAAGACTCTGACTTTACTGGGTCAAGGAGCTGGTCCCCTGCATATGAAATAGGCATGTGCTGAATGACTTCCTGGGATATATCACTGAGCTTTGTTTTCTTTATTCTCACTCTAGTTCCAGAGTATTGTTGTATTATGGAGGACATAGAACCACGTGTCCACATCCTTAAGGCCATTCTTTTCTCATGACCATGACATGAAGTATGTCTCTGAATGTAGTTTTTGACCACTGAAGCCTGAGAAATAGTACCTTGACCCATCTCTAGCAGACTCTGGGAAAATTCCATCAATTCAGCTGGAACCCCAAATAAATTCTGAATAGGTTGGGTATCTGTAGTGACTCTTTCTGTTAAAGGTATTTGAGAACAAAACTTCCTTTCCATAGTGGTCCCCAAGACATTCCCCAGCATTAGCATATTGGAGAGATATTTTCTAGGTAGTTTCTGCTTCCAGGAGTGACTCTCCCAGACATTCTGTTGTCTTCCCAGGACAGACCAGGTAAGGTCTCTTTGAGCCCCTGATCCTGTCTGGAAGGTCCTAGCTAGTGATCTCCAGCTTTTTGGTGGATGTTGGAAGAGGCCCTGGAGTGAATTCTCTAACTCTGCCACCTGCCCCTTCTGAATCCTCTCCTTAGATATGACATTCACTCCTGGGATCTCAGAATGGGGGTTTTCTACAGTGTGAGCTGTCTTGTCAGAGAGTTGATTATGAAAGGACAAGGGAAAGTTTGAAGCAAACGTCTGTTCAGGCTGCAAAATACCTGTCCAAAGGCTTTTTATATCCAAGGCTCTTGATACTTTGGTCATCTCAGAATCCCAAAGGCCTCCTAATTCAGATGTTGTTTTAACGGTGTTTGAGATGGCTGAGTTTGAAGAGTTATGTAGAAACCTAGAGAAATAATTCCCTGTCTGCAACTCTTCTCCTGATGTTAACTCCTCAGATTCCCTATTCTGATATACCTGTCTTAGATTCAAATCCTCAGAATCCATAACTTGAGGAGGCCTTATCTTTATCCCTATAGATTTCACAGCCTGAAGCTCTTGTTCATGAGTCAACATTGTAGGATCTTCAAATGAAGATGTTAGCTGTGAGGTTAATTCTGCAGATTTCAACTCAGTATTTGATCCTGTATTTAACTCCACAGATTTTGTTCTTTTAAAGCATGACTCTAGTGCAGACACCTCATATTTTAAGTCCTGAAGCTCAGAGTCTGAAATCACTTTTACAGAATTTGCACCACAAAGTAATGGTTCTTTGTTCATCGTCATAGACTTTACATCTTCAAGCAATGGCTGTGGTAAAAATAACACAGATTTTGCACCATTTAATTGAGGACCCAAAACAGAGTGCCCAACGTGTTGCTGTGGCCCAAGGGGATTCTCCAAAACTTGGACTTCTGGAAACTTTGTCCCAGGAGTTAAATGAGAAGATTTTACACATTCCAAATATGGTCCAGGATTAAACAAAATAGACTTTGTTCCTTGAGATTCTGGCCCAGGGTTCAATTCACAAGATTTCATGCCATGTATTTGTGGCCCTGGATTAAACTTTATAGAGTTTATATATTGAAGTTCTGACCCTGAATTCAATTCAGAAGAACTCACACCTTGCAGCTTTGGGCCAGAGTTGAACTCTGTTGTCATTATACCCTGAAATTTTGTCCCTGGAGTCAACTCAAAAGGTTTTACACCTTCCAAGAGTGGCTCAGGGATGCAACCAGTAGAATTTACACATTGTAATTTTGGCCCAGAATTCAACTCACAAGAACTTTCACACTGCACCTGTGGCCCAGGGTTGCATTCCATAGGTGCTGCACCTAGAAACTCTGAGTCTAGAATCAGTTTAGATTTCAGACCTTGCCAATGTGGTCCAGGGTTGAACACCATCGATGTCTCACTTTGAATCTCTGTCCCTGGATTCAATTCAGAAGATTTCATACTTTGAAGTTCTGAAAGTAAAAATTCAGAAGAGTTCACACCTTGCAAATGTGGTCCAGGGTTGCAGCCAGTAGAATTTATACACTGAAGTTTTGGTTCTGAAATTAATGAGGAAGAATTCATACCTTGCAAATGTGGTTCAAGGCAGAACACATTAGCTTTTGTACCTTGAAGCTCTGGCCGGGGATTCAGCTCAGAGGATTCCAGACCTTGCCACTCTGGCCCAGTGTTGAATGCCATAAAAGTTATACACTGAAGCTGTGGCCCTGGATTCAGTTCAGAGGATTTCCCACCGTGCAATTTAGGTTCATGCTTGAATTCCAGAAATGGCTCATCTGGAAGCTTTGTCTTGGTGGTCAAATCAGATTTCATCCCTTGCCACTGCTTTCCACAATTGAACTCAGAAGCTATTACACTGTGAGCCTTTGATTCCAAGGCCAAATCAGAGGGTTTTGCAACCTGAAATCTGGGGCCATTTTTTATCTCTGTAGAGGTCATAATTTGAAGATTTACCAATTCAGAAGATTCTGCACCTTGCAAATTTGTCCCAGAGTTGAATTCCACAGATTTCACACCTGGTAGGTGTGTGCCTTGTGTCAACATAGACAATTTCCTATCTTGTGGGGCTGAGTTAAACCCCAAAGATTTAACATCTTGTTCCTTTGTACCTAGAGTTGATTCAAAAGATTTCGTATCTTGACACATTGGCCCAGTGATGAACTCCACAGATTCTTCACTTTGAAGCTTTGTCTCTGGTGTTAACTCAGATGTCACAACTTGTAAATGTGCAACAGGCTTTAACTCAACAGATTTCACATCTTGAAGCTTCCTCTTCTGGGTTAAATCAGATTTTCCACCTTGTAATTTTGGACCATGGTTGGACCTTAAGGAGTTCACAGCTTGAAGATTTGTTGCTTGAATTGACTGAGATTTTTCACTTTGTGTCTGTGGCTCAGAGTTGAAAAACGATTTCACTTCTTGAAATTTTGTCTCTGGGATCACTTCAGAAGATTTCATACCTTTAAAGTGTGATCTAGAGTTGAACCCCATAGATTTTAAATCTTGAAGCTTTATACCTATGATCAAGTCAGAACATTTTATGTCTTGTAATTTTGGACCTGAATCCAACTCTACAGATTTTGCACCTGGAAACTTCCTCCCCAGGGTCAAATCTGATTTCTCATCTTGGAACTTTGAACTAGGTTTTAATTCTACAGATTCCACACCTTGAAGCTTTTCCTTTGGGATCACTTCAAAAGATTTCATACCCTGCAAGTGTGATCCAGACCCGAAATTCATAGATTTTACATCTTGAAGCTCTATACCCATGACCATCCTAGAAGATTTTATGTCTTGCAACTGTGGACCTGACTTGAATTCTTCTGATTTCACTTTTTCAAGCTTTGTCCCCAGTATTGGCTCAGAAGATTGCAACTGGGGGACAATGCTGAATTTTTTGTCTTTTGTATCTTGAAGCTTTGTCTTTGAAGTCCTTTGAGAAGATTTCATAACTTGTACCAATGATTCAGGGTTGAAATATTTAAATTTGAAACTTTGAATCTTTGTCTCTATATTCGATTTAGAAAATGTTGTACCTTGCAACTGTGAGCTGGGATTTAACTCAGTAAACTTCGTATCTTGGGACTTTATACCAAGAGGCAACTTAGAAGATTTTAGATCTTGCCATTGTGACTGAAAGTTGAAATCCTCAGATTTCACACCTTGAAGCTTTTTCTGAAGAGCCAACTTAGATGAGTTCATACTTTTCAAGTGTAGTGGGGAGCTCGACTGTATCATTTTATCACTCTGAAATTGACTTAATACCCCAGATTTTACACCTAGAAGTTGTGGTTCTTGTGTAAGCACTGGAGACTTTACCCCTTGAAGCTGTGTTCCTGGGGATGACTGTAAGGGTTTCGCTTCTTGAAGCTGTAGTCCTGAGGTCAATTTAGGAGATTTCCCATCATGCAAGTGAAGACTAGATTTGGACATCATAGATTTTATATCACAGGGCTTTGACCTCGAAGTCAGGTCACATGATTTCATACTTCTAAACTGCAGATGAGGTTTCAAATCAAAACCTTCAGGCTGATGTTCCTGGAATGACGCCAAAGATTGTATACCTTGGAGTTCTGGCTTTGGAGTCAACTTAGATGATGTTGTATCTCCTGACTTTGTCAAAGGTTTCAACTCTGCTGGTTTGACACATTGAGATTGTAACCCAAGATTTAACAGAGATTTCATACATTGAAGCTCTAATGCAGGTATCCACTGAACTGATTTCATACTTCCAAGCTGTGGCTGTTGGTTTAACTCCACACTTTTTATGCCTTGAAGCTGTGGCTCTGATGTTGAGGCCAAAAATGTCCCTTTTTGCAGTTGTTCTGGGGGTGACTCAGGGGTTTTCACACTCTGCAACTGTGGCCCACAGTTGAACTCCAAATGTGTTGCACCTTGAGTTTTTGGTCCTCGAATCAATTTAGATGATTTCACATTTCTTGACTGTATCAATGATTTCAACTTTGCTGATTTGACACCTTGAGATTGTGAACCAAGATTTAACCCTATAGATTTCACACCTTGGAACTCAGGTTCTGGTGTCCACTGAATACGTCTCATACTTCCAAGTGGTGTCTCTTGTTTTAGATCAACCGTTTTCACCCCTTGAAGCTGTGGTTCTAAAGTTGACACCAAGGGTTTCACTTGGTGTAACTGTGGCCCTGGGGTCAACTTGGGAGATTTTATGCTTTGCAGCTGTGCTTCAAGTTTTAACTTCTTAGGAGTTAAATTCAAAAGTGCCATCCCTTGAAACTGTTGCCTTGGAGCTGAATCCACAGATTTTACTCCTTGAAATTTTTGCATTCTGGTTACATTTGTGGGTTTTACTACCTGCTTCTTTGGCCTTGGAGTCAACTTCACAGATTTTACACATTGCAATGGATCTGGAGTCTCCTCTAATGAGTTTAAACTTTTAAGTTTGAAACATGGGGTAATCTCCACAAATTTCATGTCTTGCATTTGTGGCTCTAAAGTAAATTCTTCAGGTTTCATACCTTGCAGTTGAGGTTCTTGGAGTAATGGCTCTGGTGCAAAAGGCCCAGAATTCTCAACTTGCGTCTTTGGCCCCAGTTTTAATTCCATGGCTTTCACATTTTGCATTTGTGTTCTTGGGACCAACTCCACAGTTTTGAATTCTTGAATTCTTGAATGCAGAGTCAACTGAACAGATTTCACAGCCTGAAGGTTGGAATCTGGGATGGTTTTCACAGACTTGACATCTGTCTGTGGCCCTAAGTTTATCTCCACAGATTTCTCATCTTCCAGCTGAGGACTTGGGCATCTTAGGCATTGTCCTGGACTTAAGGTCACAGACTTCACATCTTCTACCTCTGATTCTGAAATCAACAACTCAGACTTTAAACCTTGAAGTTTTGAGCCTGGAGTCCGCTCCACTTGTTGTGTACCTCCCACCCATGGCCCAGGGGTTAATACCATAGATTTCACATCTCCAAACTGTGGCTTTGGTGTTAACGGAATAGATTTCATACCTTCCAAATGTGACCATGGGGTTAAATCCACAGATTTCATGTCTTCTAGCTGTGGCTCTGGGATTAGTGTCTCAGATTTTAAATCTTGAAACTTTGAGATTGGGGTCCACTCCACAGGTTTTACATCTTTTAACTGTGGTCCTTGGATCAATTCAGAAGATTTCATACCTTGTAACTGTGGTCTTCTGGTCAACTCAGAAAAGTTGACACTTGGCAACTGTTGCTCAGGAGTCGGCTCCACAGACTTCACATCTGCAATCTGTGGCTCTAACACTAATTTATGTGAAATGTCACTGTTAACGCTTAACATTTGACCAACCTCTACACATTTTACACCTTGAAACAGTGACTCTGGTACTGACATCTCAGGTTTAACCCCTTGCTGCTCAGGTCCTGGGGTCAACTCCGTAGATCTTCCTCCTTGCTTCTTTGGCTCTGGAGCCAACTCAAAATTTTTCACATATTGTTTTTGTGGCCCTGATTTTAACTCTGAAGATTTCACACCTTGAGATTGAGTTCCTGATGTCAGATCACAAAATTTGACATCATGTAGCCATGGCCCTGGGTTAAGCCCAATCTGTTTCTTATCTTGAAGCTCTGGAGACATCTTCACTAATTTAGAATCTTGAAGCCCTGACTCTGGAGTCATCTCCACAGAATTCACTTGATGAAACAGTGGTACTGGGGTTTGCTCCCCAAATGTGACACCTTGAAGCTTTGGCCCTGAAGTCAATTCAGAAAATTTGACATCTTGCTGCCTTGGTCCTAGTTTCAGTTCCTCAGATTTCACACCTTGAAATTGTATTTCTGAGGTCAATTTCACAGATTTCATGCTGTGAAATTGTGATCCTTCAACAGACAAAACAGATTTTGTATTTTCAACTGGGAGCCCTTGGCTTAACTGCAAAGGTGACTGTGCTGCAACCCCTACCGACTTTATATCCTGAATCTGTGTTTCTGGTATAAACTGCCCATGTTTGAAACATTTATGCTTTGATTCTGGGTCCAAATCAGAAAATTTAACATCTTTTGAGCATAGTCCTGAGTTTAGTTCCACAAATTTGATACCTTGAGATTGTGGTTCAGGAGTTGACTGTACAGGTATAACACTTAGATGCTTTGGCTGTAGTGTAAAACCTGATGGTTTGATTTCTTGCACAGGGGAAGCTGGGGTCAATTCATCAGATTTCATAACATGGTGTGGGGGCCCTGAGATTAAATCTACAGATTTTTTTCCTTGGAGAAGTGGCTCTGGAGATAACTTTGAAAATCTGACACTTTGTGACTGTGGCCCTATAGTCAAGTCCTCTAATATACTTTGTAGCACTGGCTCTTTTATCAGCTTCTCAGATTCTACTGCTTTGGTAGTAGTTGACTCTTGGATTAAATTAACATATTTCACATCCTGTAATTGTGGCTCTAGATCCAACTGCCTGGACTTTGCTTCCTTGGGCTGTGGTTCTGGATTCAATTCCATTACATGTGGTTCTGATCCTGTAATAAACTCTTTAGATCCTATCACAAATGGGACTGACTCAAGTTTTATACTTTGGTGCTGTGGTTCTGAGGTCAATGGCACAGATTTTACACTTTGAAATTGTGGTTCTGAGGTCAACTCCTCATAGTTCATAACTTCTGAGTATGCTTTTAGATTCAGAACAAACTTAATACGTTGGAAGTCTGGGATTAACACCTCTGATTTCATACCTTGCACCTCGGATCCTGGTACCACCTTCGGAGATTCTCGTATTGTATCTTGTGACACTGGAGTCTCCTCCATGGGTTTTATACTTTGGAGCTTTGTCTCAAGGGTACCTTGGAATGGCATTGAGTTCATCTGTCTAGATTTTGAAGCATGTCTCAGTGGCCCTGGGGTATTTCCTAAAGATGGTTGTGTAAACCCCACAGATTCTTTCTTGTGATGACAAGTGTCAGAGGTCAACTTTGATTCTGTTTCTTGATATCCTGGCTCTGAAATCATCCCTAAAGTTTCTGAAGCTTGATGCCATGAGGTCAATTCTTCAGATTCAATGGCTTGATGACTTGGCTTGGGTACCAATTCTACAGATCGTGCTGCTGGAGCATGTACCCCTTGGATCAGCTCCTCATATTTCATACCTTCTACATGTGTCTCAGGAATCAACCTCCTACATTCTACCACTTGAGGAGTTTTCACATCTTTAAGCAATAGTACTTGGGCTATCTCCTCAGATCTTATATCTTGTAACCATGGCTTTAGGGTGCACTCCACAGATTTCATATCTTCCTGTTGTGGTCTTGGGGTCAACTCCACAGTTTTTGTACCTGGCAAGTCTGGTGGCAGGCTCAAATGAACACATTCCATACCTTGCAACTGTGCACTGGAGGTCAAATCTAAAGATTTCCTACTTAGTAACTGTGGTGCTGGGGCTAACTCAGCAGATTTTTCACTTTGCTGTTGTGGTCCTAGGGTCAATTGGATAGCTTTCTCACCCTGAGGGTGAGGTCCTAGGTATGACTGCACAGATTTCCCACTTTGCAGTTGTGGAATGAGGGTCAACTCATCAGATTTTACACTCAGCTGTTGAAGTTCTATGGCTGATTCTGTAGAGTTCACAGTTGGGATCAGCTGTCCATATTTTACTATGCGTGGGATTGAACCTGTGGTTTTATCTATAGATTTTATACTTTTCAACTCTGTTCCCATGATCTGTTTCTCATATTTTACATTTGGCAATCCAGGTGATGACTTCATAGAATCCATAACTTTAAGTTGTGGCATTGGCTTTGCCCCCATATTTTTCACACCTTGATGCAGTGATGTAGTAGTCAGTACTGAGGATTCTGTAACTTGATGCAGTGGTCTTTGGCTCATTCCAGTCGATTCTGTACCTTGACCCAGTGACTTTGGGATTGTCCCTAGAGATTCCATTAGTTGATGATGTGACTGTGTCAACTCTACAGATTTCTTCATTTGTAAGCATGTGTCAGAGGTCAATCCCACAGTTTCTATAACTTGATGTCTTTGCCTTGGGCTCATCTCTGAATACTCTGGAATTTGATGCCATGGGGTCAACCTCAAAGATTTCATGTCTTGAGGTGGCACTGGGGTTACTGCCATAGATTCCGTGCCTTGATGATATGGTTGTACAGTCATCCCCACAGGTTCTAACACTTGAATCCATGGCCTAGGAGTCAACTCCAAGGATTTCTTGACTTGAGATATCGGCTTTGGGGTCAAATCCTGAGTTTCTACAACTTGTGAGTATGGTTCTGTGACCATTCCATTGGATGACCCCAGTGCTATTGGGGTTATCTTTAGAGAATGTGTGAATTGATGTGATGGCATCCCTACTGATTCCATGACTTTAGGCAGTGGCTTTGGAGGTATACCCATAGCCTCTCTAATTCCAGGTGGATCAATAGTAGTAGGAAAACTAGAAGATGTCAAATCATCTGGTTGAGTTGCCCTTGGGGTCAAATTTGAAATATGAATCTGTGAATCTGGAGTTAAACTCCCAGATTCTATACCATCTGGCTGTGCAGGGGGAACTATTCCCATGCAATTCATAGCTTCTAATAGTGCCTCTGGTGTTATTTTCATGATATCCATGACTTGATGCAATGGCCTGGGCATCATGTTCAATGATTTTGTGTTTTGACATGTTGGTCCTGGAATAATTTTCACTGGTTCTGTGACTTGATTTTGTGGCTTTGAAGTTATGCCCGCTGGTTTAATAAGTTTATGTTGTGGCCCTGGAGTCATTTCCACAGCTTCCATGACTGTATGCTGTGGCCTTGGACTCATCTTTCCTGGTTGTATGACTTGATGGTCCAACAATGTACTCATTTTCACTGACTCCTTATCCTGATATCGTGATGTTGGGGTCACTGATTTTGTGATGTGTGGGTGTGATCTTTTAACCATTCCCATAAAATCCATGACTTGAAGCAATGCTACAGGAGTTACCTTCACATTATCTGTGACTTGATTCAGTGGTCTTGAGGTCATCTTCTTTGATTCTATAACTTGGTGCTGAGGCCTTGGGGTTACCTCCACTGATTCAATGACTTGATATGCTGGTTTTGAACTTGCAGTCACTGTTTCCAATGGTTTAACAGTGTCATTTGGTCGTGGAAACAAACTCACAGATTCTATCACTTCTGAATGTGATTCCGGGATCATCCCCATTGAATCCATGGCTTGAATTAATGCCAATGGGGTTACCTTTATGCTATCTGTGACTTGATATGGTAGCCTTGGAGTCAACTCCACACTAGTCACTTGGGTCTCATGCTTCTGTATGTTTTTTTCTGGGAGACCTATTACCCTCTGCTTTATACTAAGCTCTAACGTATATTTTGGGTCCTTCTGCAGTAAAGTGGTTTCTTTTTCAATTATGTCAACTCCTAAACTTTTGGGAGGTGGAGTGCCCATTGATGTAACTAACAACTTGGATCCAAGAATTTGGGGGCCACCCTCATGTTGTGACTGTTTACCTGGGGTAAGGGATTCTGAAATTTTTGTTTCTGTTCTTTTTAATCCAGATTCCACTCCAGTGTTCACATGGCGCTGAAATGATGGAAGGTCTGGGGATTCATTGTTGACATTTTGCTCAGTGCTTTGATAAATGGGCATAGATAACTGGATTTGGGGTTTTTCTGGTTCAGGGATGCTTCCTTGTACCTCAGTTAAATAATTCAACATTGCCCATGATTCCCTCACAGGCAGGGGTACTGTTTTTTTCTGCAAAGTACAAATCTTCCAAGCCATATGTCTCTCTAACTTCCACCTAGTCAAAGAAGAGATCTGGATTGGATCCCGGCCTTTGAATTGTGGTCTGTCCTTGAAAATAGAATTTGGCCAATGATCTGATGTCAAATGATTCTTGCTCCTTCTCCCATCCTTTGTTTTCAATTGTTTGCAGATAGTAGAGTTGGTGAAAGAGGTTTGAGGTCTTAAGGCTGAAAGAGTTGCCAAACTCTGAAAGAGTTTTGATTTCCCAAGCTCTGAGAGATGAGGAGGAGGCAGGGATGTGCCTTGGTTCTTAAACACAGTTGGTTGCTTTTTAGAAAAAATAGGTAAACTATGGCACTGGAATTTCCCAGTTGTTCCTTCAGAAAAGACAGAAAAGTGAGACAAACTGGAGTCATTGCATGATGATCCAGAGGAGGTGCTGTGGGTAGTAGAATATTTTGCTGTCTTACAGTCACAAAAGGGTAGAACAGGCTCCTGAGCCACAAAACCAGAGGAGGTGGAGGAAGAAATCATACATTGTGATTCAGGCAAACATGATTCCATAAGAACTGATCTAAGGAATAAAGAGAAAAGTTTCATTTTGCTTTGAAACAGGAAAAAGGTAGGAAAAGTAGACAAAGGGAAAAATAATGGCCAATTTCAAATGCAAAATATTTTGGACTGAGGGAGGATAATAAGTTGCTTTAGCCAACATCAATTAATTATGGAAATAATTCCTCCATCAGGAGAAAGGAAGGCATTTGTCCCATTCCAATCAGAAGTAATCAATAAACCAGTAGTTCTTAAACTTCCTTTGAACCTACAACCTTCCCCTATTGCCCAAACTAACAGACTAACTAACTAATGCTCTTTTCCCTCTTCCTCCCTGCTTCCTCATATCCCTTCCTCTCTTCTTCACTCCCTTCCTTCCTCCCTCTTAAAAGCTCTACCACCTTCAATTCCCACTCAGAAACTACATTCCCTGACCTTGCATTTTCCAGATGTTGGAAAATCTGTTCAAGACAGAGTATACATTCCTGGGTCCATACTTCAGGGAGTCCTGAAAAGCTGGATGAAAAAGAGTATGTCAGTGTAACTGAAGTGATACTGAATGTACTGGTAAGGAAATCAATAAGAAGAGAGACTTAACTTAGACAGAGAAGGCTATGATAATGTGGGAAGTGAAACAGTCCCAGCTATCTTACTCCTAAATTTTTAGAGTTTATCAGAATAGGCTGAAAAGAAGAAAAATAGACAACAATGAAGATCGATTTTACTCAGCCCTGGCTGGCGTAGCTCAGTGGATTGAGCGTGGGCTGCCAACCAAAGTGTTGCAGGTTCGATTCCCAGCCAGGGTACATGCCTGGGTTACAGGCTATAACCCCTAGCAACTGCACATTGATGTTTCTCTCTCTCTCTCTCTTTCTCCCTCCCTTCCCTCTCTAAAAATAAATAAATAAAAATCTTTAAAAAAAAAGATCGATTTTACTCACCATGTCAGGTTAGTTTTAATGCAGCCCATCCTGAGATTTTCTTCCCACTGTTGAGCTGGGAGCAGAGATGAAGAATCTATTAGTATCATGACTATTGACATCACCTAGTCCAAAACCCTTATTTTGCAAATAAGGAAACAACAGTGAAGTCATGTCCAGTATCTTAAAGCTAATTAGTGGTAGAGCTCAGGTTTAACCCAAATCTCAAGTTTGTTTTTTAAACTATACTGTGCTGCCTTCACCATGTAATATAGATGAAAGTGATTGGAAAGAGCAGGAACAATCATGGTAGTAGGGAGTTGAAGTGGGGGAAACAGAGGTCATAACACATATTTTTTTCCTCCAAAGGAGTCTATCCAGTGTCTATGGTAGAGAAAAAAGGTGCTGAAACTTTCCACATCAAACTCTTAATTACCCATTCTCCAATTTCACTAAGTTTATTTCCTGATACTTTGAGCTTTACACAAAATGAGATGAGGAAAGGAAGCATGGAAACACCTATGTGGGAGAGCCCACAACTCAGGCACAATTGGAATTGGAATTAAACTAGCCACCTTTTGGTCCACAGGCTGGTGCTCAATCCACTGAGCCACACCAACCAGGGCTAAAGGATAGAGCTTTAAAGCAACCCACAGTTGGTCTGTCATTAGCCTTCAGCTGAAAACAAAGCATAGGATCTTTCTGACCTGTGACTTTCTGGATCTTTTTCAATCTATGTTGCTTTGAAGTCTAGAGAGGCACAAAAAGAAAAAAAGTCAGGTAATGTTCTAGGTTAGAGAATTTACTGACAGTGCATTTCATCTTATAGACACAAATATTGATTCACTTGACATTCATATCTATAGGAACAATTACCACTCTATTCATTTATTCATGAATCATTTATTGAGTACTAAGTTCTTGGTATTTTGTGGGGTGCCAGCACTACAAAGATAAGTATGATCCCTGTATTCAGGGAGCTTATACTAGGAGGGAAAATATATCTCTAAACAGATAAATGGCAATACTGTGTGGTAAATGCTGTAACAGAAATATAAGTGCCAGGGAATACAGAAGATAGTCATTAACTGCTTGAGAGACAAGAGAAAAATTACCCAAGAAGTTGCCATTTGCATTGGAGTTTGAAGAATCAGCAGAAGGTTTTTAGGTCAAGAAAGAGCATTTCAAGCAAGTGGGAACTTCACTGAGAATAGAAGTCGTGACTGTCAAGCGCACTTTTGCTAAGTAGTGAGAGATGAGGCTGAAAAGGTAGGTAAAAGCCCGATTATGACAACTGTAGCGTTTTTATTTTGTTCTGTAGGAAAAAATTTCCCAACCAGTAGTGAATAAACTCCTGGGTTTTTGCAAGAGTGTTCCAGGTCACTTGAAAGACAAAAATAACATTTGTTACAGTTTTTTATTTCTTCCTTTTATACTAGAACGTCAGTCTCTGAGAGGATGTTAAAAGAGCCTCAACAGCAATTATTGAGGAATTCCTGAAAGTCTACATGATTCAGTCACTGAGTTTATCATTCAGTTGAATACCCCTAGCACACTGGTAGTTTTAACTTTTAAACAGTTTTAAACTGATTTTATGCTTAGTCATGTATTACTTATGTCCATAATAGACCATTGACTAAAAACATCAAATGAAAAAGAAAACTGATATTGAAATACAGGTTATTATATTTACAAATGATCTTTCTATATATTTATCTCAAAATGACCTCTACATATCACAGACCTAAATAATTCCCCACTACAAAACACTTGGAAATGCTGAATTAAATATAATAAATATTCTTTAAAATGCAGAACTTAGATCTTTACAAGAGAATAAGGGAAATACAGCCCCAAAATACAGCCCCAAAAATAGAAAACTAAAAAACTAGAGTGGAAAATCAGCTGACACTTCAATGTCCTAGGTGATTTGCAGGGTCAGTGACTAAAGACTTTGGATAACAACAAGAAAGGGACAAAAACACAAGGCTCATATGAAGTGGGTATTTGGAATTGAGATCCCAGGGAAAAAGAGCCAGGATTTTTAAATTGCTACACATCAGTAAAAAGGTGGCTAGAAAAAAAATATGCCCACCAGACAACAAAGCTTGAGCTCTGGGTAGAGGGGGAAAAAACAGGCTTCTCTGAGAATTTTAACCAATAATCTATCCTCATGCTGGTGAGGAATACTAATTTACATTCACTACGTAGTCAGGAACCCTCAAAAGTAAAATAAAAGGGGTTCTGGGCTGGTCATGCCTCTAGGGCAAAAGAGGAAAGGAAATATAAAATCTCTTTGGAAACTGAAGTAGAAAAGGAAGAAGGCAAACAGCTTGAATAACATACTTAAGTAAATGAGAAATACTTGATGAAATGATTAAATTCTCAGAAAAAATGTAAAATATCAAAATCAGGCAAAAAGAAATATATGATTTGAATAGACCGGTAAGTATGAAAGCAATTGAAATGATAACCAAAGATATTCTCCATCAGACCTAATCAAAGAATTCAAGGTTTCTAATTATCAGAACTTATATTAATAATATTTCTCTACTGCAGGAAAAAAACTAGAAAAATATAATTTTAAATAATAAAAGATAATATCCTTCATAATAGCAATAAAAATGATAGAATATCAAAGTATTAAGTTAACCAAGAATACAAAAGGCCTTCTTGTAGAAAACTATGTAACTCTAATAAAGATCAGAGAAAAATTATCTCAATAAATGGAGAGACATTATAGGCTTTTGATTGGAATAACTTGAAATTACAAGATATCACTGTTCCCCAAATTAAATTATACTTTAATGCATTCCAAACCTAAATTTCAGTTGGAATGTTTCAAAAATTTGTTAAACTCTCTAAAATTATATGGCAAAAGATCCACTAGTAGCTAAGTCAACCTTAAAAAGAAGGGCAAAGAAGAGGCCTGCTGTACCAAACTCTAAAACACACTACAAATATATGACAATAAATACAGGAACAAACAAACCAATGGGACAGAGTAGGGAACTTAAAGATGGACTCATATATATGATAAAGGGAGCTCCACAAATCGATGGGGAAAAGATTTTTTAGCAAAGAGTGATGAGAAAACTGGCTCACTATACAGAGAAAAATAAAATATATAATTTCTTAATTATATATTTAGAGGTGGATTCCAAGTGTATTAAAAATTAAAATTGTGAAAGGTAAGACTGTGGAACACCTAAAAAATGTAGGAGAAAATTGTTGTGACCTAGAGCACAGAAGAACTTTTTAAAGAAAACTTCAGCCCTGGCTGGTGCAGCTCAGTGCTTTGAGCACTGGCCTGTGAACTGAAAGCCTGCCTGTTCAATTCCCAGTCAGGGCACATGCCTAGGTTGCAGGCCAGGTCCCCAGTTGGGGGCATGCAAGAGGCAACTGATTGAGATGATGTTTCTCTCCCTCTCTTTGTCCTTCTCTTCTCCTCTCTCTAAAAATAAATAAATAAAATGTTTTTAAGAAGAAAAAGAAAACTTCAAACATACAAACCACAAGGCAAAAAAAAAAAAAAATCCATTAGAACACTCTGCCACATTCAGCTGGAACCTCATGACACTGAGAAGTTCAGATGACTAAACAGAAGTCCCTGGGAAGTTGTAACCACAGGTGCACCTTTGTGTAATTTGCTCAAGTTCACAAAAAACCCTGAAGCCATGAATTTAAAGTAGTCCTGGACTGATGGTGCCACAGTTAAAAACAAATAAAACACTCCCTAGGGAAGATCTTTATCCTAGGCTTGAAAAAATGCCCATGAATATTGTATTTTATTAAATAAGTTATTTCTGCAGAAACAAACCCACAGAGATGCCACGTATTAGAATCATTAGATCTAGATTAGAAAACAACAATGTGTATTACATTTAAAAAAAAAAGCCAAGCTTAAATATATTTGTAAGAAACAGAAAATCATAAAAAGTTTTCTAGCAGATTTGAGAGAGAATCAAATGTTACTTCTAGAAATTAAGAATGTGGTACTGAGCCCTGGCTAGTGCAGCTCAGTGGATTGAGTGTGGGACTGCAAGGTAAAGGGTTGTGGTTCGATTTCCAGTTGGGGCACATGCCTGGGTTGCAGGCCAGGTCTCCTTTAGGGGGCATGCAAAAGGCAACCACACATTGATGTTTCACTCTCTTTCTCCTTCCCTTCCCCTCTCTCTAAAAATAAATAAATAAAATCTTTTTAAAAAAGAATGTAGCACTGAAATCAAAATCTCTGTGGATGAGTTTAGCAGCATTAATGAAATACTTCTGAACAGAGAACTAGATAAGTATGCATATTGAAATTCCTGGAGTAACCACTGGAAGAACAGGAATAAAGTGCACAGCTGTTAAGGGGGAAAATGGAAACAGAAATTCAACCCAGGATTTCTGTTTATAATAATTGTTTGAATCCTCCAAATGAAAACAACCAAAAGAATTGGACCAAAAAATTTTTTAACATCTATTTGAAGATACTGAAGAGCTATCAAGGTATCAAGGACCAAAGGAGCCAAGATCCCAGAGAAAAAAGGAAGTTTAGAGAAGTGAGCCCAGATTTCCCCCTCAAAGCATTTGCCAATTCTTGAGCTATGGCTGAAAAGCTAAGCAAACTATTTAGTTGTTTTATGGGGATAGATAGACAAAAAAAAAATGACTTTAGGAACGAAGGACGAGGGCCCCTGGTAAATATCCCCGCCTTTCAGTTGAGACCCAACAAAGGGTTATACCTAGAAATAGGAATAAACCTGAAATAGAGTAGGCTCAAAAATCAAAGCTCATATGGTGCCCGGTGAGTATTAGACATACCAGGGGATCACTTCATAAGTTACATAAATTTCTAACCACTGTGTTGTATACCTGACATTAATATAATACTGAATGTCACTTCCAGTCAAGATGAAGGCATAGGTAAACATGCTTTACCTCTCACACAACTAGAGAAAAAATTATAACTAAACTACAAAACAAATATTACCCAGAACCATGAGAAAATCGAGCTGCATGGAAGTCCAAAAACTAAGGATTTAAAGAAGCCACATTCATCCAGACAGGTATGCACTTCTAGGATAGGCCATGTTACTAAGAGAGCGAGTCAAAGCAGCTCTCCCTAATACAGAGAAGCAGCTCTTCCTAATACACAGAAACATGGGGAGGCTGCCAAATTGAGGAGACAAAGAAATATGGCCCAGATGAGAGAACAGAACAAAACTCCAGAAAAAGAAATAAATGAAACTGAGATAACTAAACTATCAGATGCAGAATTCAAAGCACTGGTTATGAGGATGCTCAAAGAACTCATTGAGCATGAAAACAGCATAAAAAAGACCCAAGCAGACATGAAAGTTACATTAAGTAAAATAAAAATCTAAAGGAACCAACAGTGGAGGGGATGAAACCAAGAATCAAATCAATGATTTGGAACATAGGAAGAAAAAAATCATTTGATCAGAACATCAAGAAGAAAAAAGAATATAGAAAAATAAGAATAGACTAAGGGGCCTTTGGGACAGCTCCAAATGTACCACATAGGGATGCCAAAAGAAGAGGAAGATCAAGAAATTGAAAACTTATTTGAAAAAAATAATGAAAGAAAACTCCCCTAATTTGGTGAAGGAAATAGGCATACAACTTCAAGAAGCACAGAGAGTCCCAAACAAGTTGGACCCAAAGAGGATCACACCAAGACACATCATAATTAAAAATGCCAAAGGTTAAAGATAAAGAGATAATCTTAAAAGCAGCAAGAGAAAAGCAGAGAGTTACCTACAAAGGAGTTCCCATAAGAGTGTCAGCTGATTTCTCAAAAGAAACTTTTCAGGCTAAAAGAGACTGTCAAGGAATGTTCAAAGTGATGAAAAGCAAGGATCTACCTCTTAGATTATCCAATAAAGCTATCATTTAGAAATGATGGGCAGATAAAGTGCTTCCCACACAAGGTAAAGTGACAAGGAGCTCATCATCACCAAGCCATTATTATAGGAAATATTAAAGGGACTTATTTAAGAAAAAGATAAAAAAATGGCAACAAATTTGCAACTATCAATAACTGAATCTAAAAAAAAAAACTAAGTAAACAAGCAGAACAGGAACAGAATCATAGATATGGAGATCACTCAGAGGATTATCAGTAAGGAGGGGGAAGTTGGAGAATGGGGGAAAAGGTACAGGGATTAGAAGAATAGATTGGTAGGTACAAAATAGACAGGGCGATGTTAAGAATAGTAATGCAATTGGAGAAGCCAAAGAACTTATATGTATGACTCATGGACATGAACTAAGGGGGGAGGTTGCTGGAGGGAATGGGAATACCAGGTGGAAGCGGGGGGAAGGGGGGAAAATTGGGACAACTATAATAGCATAGTCAATAAAATATATTTTAAAATATTGAATGTCAATTAAAATTGAAAAAGGTTTTAAAATTTTTAAAAATTGAAGCTTAGCCTTTGATGAGTTCAATACCTGATTGGATTAAGATGAGTTTCCCTAAATGACTTCTGGAAGCAAAAATAACTCTAATGTCTGGAGGGAAGTAACTTTACATATAACATTCTTGGTATTCTAGAAAAAAAATTACCATGTATACTAGAAGATAAGATGAATGGGTGATATAAACAAACACAGTCAGTATAAATATTGTTTAAAATCCTGTACTTTAAAATACAAATGATTTATATATTTTTAAAAAATTAGATGACAGATCAGAGCACCTGACTTGGCGCCATGAGACCATGCAGACTTTGTAGCCCCAAAAAGGGCACAATGGGCAGGAATCGGGGCAGCAGGGGTACAGACAGCCTGTGGTTGGTGCTGGAGGTCCAGTGACTCCTGGTGACTTCTAAAAATGGTTCACTATTCACTTGACCCAGAAAAACACCACAAAATCATGCAAATCAAGAGGTTCAAATCTTTGTGTTCAGAATACTCATGAAACTTCCCAGGCCACCAATATATGCATATCCGAAAAGCCACCAAATATCTGAAGGATGTCCCTTTACAGAAGCAATGTGTACCATTCTGTCATTACAATAGTGGAGCTGGTAGGTGTACCTGGCCAAACAGTGCGGCTGGACTCATGACTTCTATCTAACGTTTTCTAGTCTTTGAAAGGCCGTCATCTCATCAGTCATTCCAGGTTAACACTGAGAAGTCATCATTCATTTCACAGACATTTATGGAGCACTTACTTATTACTCCAGGCAGTGTGCTAGACACAGGGGATGCAAAGATGAATATAGTCCTCATAAGAAACTGATGATAATGTTTATAATTAACTCTTTGTATTTGAGGTTCAATCAGGAAAAGACAGCTCCTTCCCTCTTTTTCTGCCTCACTTCCCACATGCAAACTTTCCCTACAGTACACCCCTCCTCTTCCACATCTCTGAGGGGCTGAGTGTTTTGTCTCTGCTTTACTATCGTATCCATACAGCCTATAGAAGTGCCTTGTAGTGGTGAGGGGTGACAAACATTCGAGAATAAATCCGTGTCCTCTTGTCCACCTCACTGCTCTGATTCTTTCATTTTCTTTGCCCTCCCTCACACTAAGTCGTTAATGCAGCCTCCCACAGCTTATCCGTGCCAGAGAACTGCCATATACATTGGAGTTATTGCCAAGGTTCACTCCACCACAGGAGCATGTTAGAAATGCAGGATTTCAGTGCCTACCCCACACTGAAATCAGAATCTGCTCTTAAAGAAAAGACCCCCAGGTGATTCATGTGTATATTAAAGTTTGAGAAACACTTCTCTAAGACACATCAAGCACATTATTACCTGGCTTTAAATTTATTGACGTCTTTTAGTTGCATAAAGAATAACATCTATACTACAAAGTATTCGGCCTGGCATTCACAGACCTCTACAACGCAACCTCTACCAATTTTCAAACCTTTTCTCTCCCTGAGTTCCCTGCACTTCTACACTGTATTCAGGCAGGTGTCTTCAGCTCTCCTCAAACACATCCAACCTTCCTCTGCTTCTTTCCCATGCTTTTCCCCAATATATTCCTCCTGTCTGAAGAATCGTCCTATACTCTCCTCCACCCACCTCACCCACCTTCAAAGTCCCACCCCTTCTCTGAAGCACAACTCAAACTGAGCTCCCCCAGCAGGCCTTTTATAGATCAGAATGCTCTTTGCCTTCCATCTCTTTAGCAATATTTATACCTCTATGAAATCTTATCACTTTCTCTTAAGTTATGTATTCAGCATATATGTGTCTGCCTATCTCCCCCTCTTCATCTCAAGCTCCTAGAAGGTGGAAATGGTGTTTGTTCTTCTTCAATGTCAACTGTGCTGTCATATAATAGGTGTTCAAGGTTTGTTGAAATGAACTGAAGGGAAAAGGATTGAGAATGACTTATGCATGGGAAGGCATCCAAAAGCACTATCTCAACTCCCCTCTTTCCCCCATCCAATTTTGCCCATGGCCCAAGGTGTAGGAGTTTCTATGGCTTCAGGGACAGGGGGAGGGAGCAGTGAGTTTCAAGAGAGTTGTTAGATCACATACCTCTGAGTCTGTCTTTGCTGCCACCTGTTCCCTGCTCTGTTTCCCAGAAAACAGCACCCAAAGCCCCCAAACAAGGAGACCAAATAATAGTAGAAGACTGACATGTGATGGCAGTGGGAGGGCTGGCCCCCATGTCAGCGCCATTACTCAACCCCATCCCCTCTCAGTCAGACTGCCTTTTCCCTCAAGGCTGTGACTCTGTATGACATCACAATGGGCATTCAAGGTAAACCTGACAAGGTCCAGCCCCTGTGCGTGCTGCTGAGCCTCTTCTCTGAGCCATGACCATCTGCGGCTCCTTCTGGCAGCAGCCCGTGGTCTTTGCTCTGACAGCCAACACTTTTATGACTCTTCTAGGATTGGGCTGGAAAAGTTGGCATAAAGGAGAGAGTATGGAGGAAAGGTTTCAAAGGAGCAGGACTCCCAAGTGGCCTATCCTGACCTATAAGCATCTTCTCTGGAGCCCGTTATTCCCTAGAGATCCAGGTATGGTGTCATATGGTCCAAGTCACAAATTACAATGGGTCAAGTACATTTAAGAAAGGTAGAATACTTTAAGTAGGTACTCTCAGAAAATGAGTAGGTCTCTCACCGCTCAGAATTCTCAGTCTATTCGGCAGCCAAAGTAATATTCTTGAAAAACACATCAACAAGGAAGTGGTTAAGTAGATATGGCATATCCATATTATGAAACACTCTGCAGTCACTATAAAGATTGTAATTATGAAGAATGAAACCTGTCATAGTGTCATAAAGTTACCTAACTCTAAGGCTTGACACGTTTCCTAGCTGCTGTTGCATTGAGACAAAGAAGAGGTTGTCACATAGGGAAATTAAATGATCTGCACTCCAGAACCCATCTAATTTTCCAAGTCTGGATTTATTTTGCCATTACACCCGATGAATAGATTCTCTAGAGTTAATTCACTGTAAACAGAAACAAAATTCACTGTAAACAAGGAATTACCCTGCCAAGTAATTCAGTTGGTTGGAGCATCCCCTACACCAAAAGAATGTGGGTTCAATTTCCAGTCAGGGCAAATACCTAGGTTGCAGTCAGGATGTGTATGAGAGGCAACCGATCTCTCTCTCTCTCTCTCTCTCTCTCTCTCTCTCACACACACACACACACACACACACACACACACACACACACATATGTATATACACACAGGGCCCAGAAGCAATGCCCCTTTTTATTAAAAAATCATAATTTTGTAATTCTGTAACATAACAATATCACACTCAAGCATACCATATGACATTTTAGGTTAAATGTTCAAGTTAAAACTATAAATTATCACACCCATATCATTACCCTACCAACCACACTCAGGCAGGCGTTACTTCTGCCGGACCCTGTATATCTCCCTCTCTCCCTTCTTCTCTCTCTAAAATCAATAAACATATCCTGTGGTGAGGATTAAAAAAAAATGCAAGGAATCAATTCATGCTCTAATGAAGATAAATAAAACTGGCCAGGGCATTTTTTCTTATAGGAAAGCTAATCAGAAATCAATTCAATTACATAACTATTGAATAGCAGGCACTGTCTTAGATGAAGACAGACATGGTCTCTCACCGCTCAGAATTCTCAGTCTATTGGGGAAGCCAAAGTAATATTCTTGAAAAACACATCAACAAGGAAGTGGTTAAATAGATATGGCATATCCATATTATGAAATACTCTGCAGTCACTATAAAGATTGTAATTACAAAGAATGAAACCTGTCACACACCATATGGCAGGTACTAGTATATGCCAGCCTAGAGTTCTAAGAAAAGATTAGGGCTGGAGGTACAGTTCTCATTCTTAAAATATATAGGTACAGTTTGACAAGAACCTTTTTCTATATGTATATAAAAATGTATCCTTTGTGTCCTAAACATTTTCTCACCATTGTGCTTGAGTCATTTATGCTATCTTGTATAGCATTATTTCATTGTATTGTATAACCATGTCATAACTTACGTATCCATTATGTTGATGAACATTTGACTTGTTTTTTGTATTTGGTTATTATAAACAATGCTGTTAAAAAATATCCTTGTTCATGTACTTCAGTGGGCTTGTACTCCTATTCTCCATGGCACTGTTTCTCAAGCTTTAACATGCGTCCGAATCATCTGGGGGGCTTGTTAAAATGCAGGTTGCTGGACCCTAGAGTTGCTGATTGAGTAACTTTCAAGCAGACCCAGGAATCTGGCATTTCCAGTAAATCTCCAGGTGACATTGAGGCTGATGTTGTCAGTCCAGGGACCACACTTTGAGGATCCCTGCTCTAAGGTACCTACCTAGAGTATATGTAACTTGAAGTTCAGTAGACAGTGCCAAACTATTTTTTCCAAGTGGTTGTATTAATATTTCCACCAGTGGCGAATGGCAGGCAGTTCTTGCTCCCTTCTCATGCCAACATGCGGTATTTATTGTCAGGCTGTTTAATTTTAGCCAGTCTGGTACTTGTGGTAATGGTATTGCATTGTGGTTTTAACCTCAATGTTTCTGACTGCTAATAATCACTAACTTGTGAACACATTTGCATAAGTTAATTGGGCATTTGTTTATCAATATATTGCTACATTCTAGTTGCTAGTAGTTTGTTTAGGATTTTTGTTACTAATTTTCATGAGTGAGACCAGCTTGTCATTTTCCACTCTTGTTCTGTCCTTTGGGTTTTTCGGTGTCAAGATTATGCTACACTCGTGAGTTGAAGAGTGTTTCCTTTTTTTATGCTCTGAAAGAGTTTGTATAATATTGGAACGATCTGATCCTTCAACATTTAGTATAACTTGTCAGCAAAGCCATAAGAGTCTGAAGTTTTCTTTGAGTGATGGTTTTTTATTACAGATTTCAATTTACTTGGAGGTTATGATACTATTGAGAGTTTGTAAATTTTTTTGAGTCAGCTGGGGAGAATTATATTTTCTAATATTTTTTTCATTTAATCTATATTTTAAAATGTATTGACAAAAAGCTATCCACTCAGTGGACTGAGCGTGGGCTGTGAACCAAAGTATCGCAGGTTCGATTCCCAGCCAGGGCACATGTCAGGGTTGCAAGTCACGGCCCCCAGCAACTGCACATTCATGTTTCTCTTTCTCCCTCCCTTCCTTCTCTAAAAAAACAAATTAATTAATTTTAAAAAATTTTTTAAAGCTATCCAAGTGCAGTACTGTCTCCTTTGTTTTTATGATATCATTTTTTGTGTCTTTTCTTTTTTCCCTTTTCCTTGATCTATTTTGCTAGAGATTTGTCAGTTTTAATTAATCATTTGAAAGAGCCAACTTTCTGTATGTTTTCTATTTCAATACTTTCTGCCTTTGTCTTTATTTGTTTACCTCTACTGTCTCCCCCACACCCCACTTTATTGAAACATACTGACTTATAACTACTTATTTATTTTCTTTGGATTTATCTTGTTGGGGGTTTTTTCTAATTTCTTGAGATAAATGCCTAGATCTTTCACTTTTAGCTTTTTTTTCCCCTTGAGGGTATAAATTTCCTCCTTAGTACTACTTTAGCCTTCATTCCACAAGTTATGATATGTAGGATTTTTGTTATCCTCCTGTCCAAATTATTTTCTAATTCCCGTAATGGTTTCTTGTTGATTCATGGGTTATTCCTTATATTTATTAAAAATTTCTAGACATATGGGTGTTTTCTACTTATCTAACAAAGGTGTATTGTGGTCATAAATTATACTTTAATTTTAATCCTTTGAAATATTTCAAGACTTTATTCCTCATTTGTGGTAAATTGAAAATATTCTATGTGTGCTTAAAAATAAGATGTATTGCCCTGGCTGGTCCAGCCTGTGAACCAAAGGGTCGCCGATTCGAATCCAAGCCAGGGCGCATTCCTGGGTTGCAGGCCAGGTCCCCAATGGGAGCCCCACGAGAGGCAGTCACACGCTGATGTTTCTCTCCCTTTCTCCCTCCCTTCCCTTCTGTCTAAAAATAAATAAATAAAATCTTTTTAAAAAAACAAGATTTTTTTTTGTTCTTCAGGTGTTAAAAATAGCATCTCTTCGGAGCTTCCTCTTCTGCCTGTGTATGTGTTGCCTGAGGGTGGGGGGTGGAAACAGTGTCTCTCTCGGTCCATTTGGTCAATTCTTCTATTTTGATGTGCAAACCTATATTCTTCTTAAGCTTTTTCTCTGTTTTTTTTCAAGAATTATTAAGACAAGAGTGTAAATTTCCCACTATGATTGTGGATTTGTTTACTTCTCCTTTGAGATGCCAGATTTTTGCTTTATATATTTTGTGATTTAAAATCATGACTTAACTCCTAGTGAATTAAATTTATTATCACTATGAAGATAGTGAAGACCCTCTTTATCTCTAGTAATGCTTCTTGCCTGAAGTTATTTTGTCTCATATAAATATTGCTATAGCCATGTTCTTGGTCTTTGCATGGTGTATCTTTTCACATTCTTTTACTCTCACCCTTGTTTTAATATTGGCTACAAAATAAGCCAAATATAAATATATGCTATTCACAAGAGACATCTAAAACAGATAGATTTTTAACTGGAATATGTATCCATTTATATTTAATTTAATTACTAAAGTATTTGGATCAAAATCTATCCATTTTCATTGTACTTTCTCTTTCTTAAACATAATTAAAGATGACATTTTATTTTTTAAAGATTTTACTTATTCATTTACAGAGAAAGGAGAAAGAGAGGGAGAAAAACATCTATCAACATGGGAGAAACATCCATCTGTTGCCTGTCACGCGGCCCCATCTGGGACCTGGCCCACAACCCAGGCCTGTGCCCTGACCAGGAACTGGACCAGTGACCCTTTGGTTTACAGGCTGGCGCTCAATCTCCTGAGCTGTACTAGCCAGGACTCTTTGTACTTTCTATGTTGTCCTGTTCTATATTTCTTTTCTCTCTCCTTTCTTGCCTTGTATTTAGATAACTAATCAATTACTTCTCTTTCCCTTTCTACTAATTAAAATTTACACTCTGTTTTTCTTGTTAGTACCTGTAAGCTATACCTATCTTGCTACCTGTTTCTGTAAGTGAAGATTTATAGGAACATAGCTACACCCATTTTACATATTGTCTGTGCTTTCATGCTACGACAGTGTAGTTGAGTAATTACAACAAAACCATAAGGAACCTGCAAAAACT